TATTTGTGAAGTAGTAGAACAATTGGGAAAGGAGTGATTGTATATAAAAAAATAAATCGAAAATGTTAAATAAAATGTTCTTATATAAAAGACTTTATTTTCAAAGAAATTGACTTTAAATAAATGTATATATATTATTACATTCGTCCGGTACAGATTTAATTAAAAAATCAGGACACATTAGAGAAAGTTTATAAAAATCTATTTCAAAAACCAGAATTGTGTATTCGACAGAACGAATAGCATTTTCAACAATTTATAAAATAATAAAATTTATCATGCGCGAATATCCTATTTTTGAATATTTTCAATTACAAATATAATAATAAATACAAATATGAGCAGAAATAATAGTTCACAGCGAGGTTCATCAAATCCGAGATCAAATCGGAACTTAGTTACCGACGAGCACTTAAAATCGATTCTCTCGAAAACAAAGCCTACTATGAAAAAATTTTATTCTACATTTTCGATTTATAATATTTTTTAATGTAAAATTACCGAGGGAGTAACCACAATCTGAAATATTGTCCCACAGATTACATGATTTCATTAAATTTTATATAATTTTATTTGATGACAAATAATTTTCCTCACTATATATGCGGTCATTTGGTAAAATAAACAATTTTATCTAATATTGCACAATTATTCTTGTAATTGCATATGTAATTATCGGATTATATATCGGAATTTCATATAAATTTTATAATGATTTGGTCTTCGTCCCACGATTACATTAAGTGATTACCCCCTCGAAAATTACCTTCTTCTGAATTATACTAGTTCTTGAATACTCTCTGTTTACTTGAATAACCTATATTTACTTGAATGTACAAATAATACTCATTAAATTATATAATCACTGTGTGTATTGAAAAATTATTAAAACAATTTTTTAATTTAAATAATACATATTTTCCATCGTAGTTCCTAAAGCATTAATTTTATTTCTGCCGAAATCTGTTTGTATTATATTAAAAAATTAAGCTTCACACACAAGTTCTCGTAAAATGGGGAGCTTGTACTTACTGCAGAGGGACTGGTAACGGTCGCTGAGGAGAGTTCCAAGGGGGCACAGGCCCGGTTGGCCGAGCGTGTAGAGCTGCCGAGATGCTGTGCGATCGACGGGTCCGTAATTACACACGAGTACTTCGACCTGATTCCCAAACCCGCCTGACGCCACCACGGTCTTGCTCAAGTCGAGCGTGTAAATCGCGCGGCCGCAACCTACGTAAATGAACGTCGCCGATGCAAGGGGAATGTAAGAGGAGAGTTGCCACGCCGTGTTAGAATAGTTCACTAGTCTGAAAGGTACAATTAACTGGACTAAATTAAGGTGGACGACTGGCAGCCAGCTTCGGGCCTCAAGCCCTTTCGCCATTGATGCAACTTGAATTCAAATTAGGACGGATCTTTTCATAATTTGAGATGCTCTCGTAAGATTCGAGAGATTAACTCACATCTTGTAGATTTATCTTGTGAAAGTGAATGCAAATTATTAAAATTAAATTATAGTTGGAAATGTAGAATTAAGATTGTGTTTAAGCATATATAATAATTCTAGCACATATCGCCTTAAAAAATGCCGTCACAATTGTGTATCTGAAAAGGCTATCTTTTTATTCCTAATATTTTTGAACAAACGATATTTTTGTATTTATACATTTCTGTTACTAATTTAGCAAACACATTCAGATAAAATTTGACATAAAAAGTTATATATGATAAAAAAAACGATAGGGATAATACGTTTTTGTACAACTCTTTCGAGCATACTTTACAAGGTTAAAGTTCAAAGTCTGATTGTATCACATTTTCATGTGTCCTGTAGGAAAATTGAAATCTTTTTTTTCTATCAGACCAAAATAATAAAAAAACGACAGAGGCTCGTTCATAGCTGCTGGGGGATCTGTGTATACTGGACTATCGAGTAATTTAGACCAGTACAATAGCACTCTCGATTTCCAGTTTACCGAGAGAATACGCGATTTTGATTGTTCCCAGCGACAGAAGAAGAACCATCCGCTATTCCTCTATTTTCACCCTCTGTTCCATACAATCGGTCTTCGGTCATTTTCTCCGACGGTCAAGTCGCTTCATCCCTCTCTTCTTCTTTCTCCAGTGCAAGGTAAACCTCTCGCAGTACCGGCTTTAAAGGGTGATCGAAACGAACTGTTGCTCAGAGCGCCAAGGAAAGCAAATAGCACAAGACACGTGCGTGGGCGCGCATCAGCATTAACATAATCCTCTTTTCATTTTTTTCAAAATTATATAGATTCTCTAATTTCTTTGGAGTGGAATTTTACTCTAAAGAATAGGAGATTTTAAAACTAGCAGAATTTGCACTTTTTAGAGTGAGATATTCCTTTTCAAAGAATTTAGAGAGTAGACAATTTATTGTTTTCTTTTTCTAGTAAAAATATAAAAATAATCTTATAAATATAAAGTATTTTTAATATTTTACAACTAATTCGTTTATTACATTTATAATGAATTTTATATTAATCTCGCTATTAAAATAAAATACAATTGTAACAAACAAATATTTTATAAATTCTATTACACGTTCAAGAGATTTTTATATTAAAAAATAAAATAAAAGTATGGATATATATATATATTTGAAACTTTCTTAGTTTATTCTATTTTTTAAATTTTATTCAATTCACGAAGGAATGGTAAAAAAGGAGTGTGAAAGTTTTTCGGGTTTGGGGGAAGACCGAGATTTTCAAAACCAGCACTGACTCCCACGAGGGCACTCGCGATCGCAAGCGAAAGCAGAAACGAGGGTGGATATGTGGGATGAAATAGAGGATCGCGGAAAGGCGGGAGGGAGACGAAGGAAAGCGAAGAACAGAGTGGTTGTTGCAAACCTTCCCCCAAAATTCGGGGGACCGAGTTAGCTGTGTCTACACGCCGGGTCGAACATCGGCCATTCACAAAGGAATAGTAGAGTCTCTCGGCACAAAGGAATCGTTCCGATCAACTCGACTCGAGCCATTGTACCTTTCCTCGATAGCCCCGCGATTCGTGCACGCGTTACTATCGACCTAGATACACATAAGGGAAGTATACGTGTGTTCGCGATGATTCTTGACGTGTAATTTGCGTATACGGTATATCCCATAGATAGCCAGTTATTTTCCATTTGTGAAGTCTTTGACTATTGTAAAATCAATTTTTTTTTTAACAATATAACGTCCTGTTATTATTACTTATTAATTAATTTTTAAATTACAAGCGATTGAAAACAGCGGATTTTTTAAAAACTCAAATATCTGAACAGATAATGGAAATGTTTTTAATTTGATTTTAAATAAATTTTATTTTAATAAAAATTGAATTTAAAAGTTGCAAACGATCAATAAGTGAAAGATATTTATTATTGAAAATTGCAAATTTGTGGCGAATAATAAATGATCTTCCATCAATTCACCAAAATTAAATTGGTCGAACAATCTATGGTCGAACGACAGGTGTCTAGCTAGATATGGAACATCCTGTATATTCTATATGTATATGTATATATAACTATGCGCACTTTCGAGTTTTACCCGACTTCTGCGTTGTCGAAGTCTTCTACCTCGTCGTACCACGATGTAATATGAAAGTGAATTCTTTCCTTACTCGTGCTATTTTCCACGCTGTCCATGTCAAGTACATTTACATTCTGCCATACTCCAAATCGTTCTACAATAAGCGACTTGTTTCAATAGTGTTTACTTATACATATATCGATATAGGTAGATCAACTTTAATCTTGGTTTAAATTATTTTATTTTTTCTAATTATAAAAATTAGAAAAGGATGAAACGTAAATTGAACCAAGATTAAAGTTAATTTACATTGGTAAAAATAGGCATCGGGTAGAGTCTGTGAAGTTAGTCACGTTCTATTAATATAAAAAAACAATGACAGTTACAATATCACTTTTCATGTAGTTCTACAATTCCTTATAAAAATTTAAAAAATAATTTGCATTTATTATGTTAAAAAATCAAAATTGAAAATATTAAAGTTATATTATTTAATATATTAAAAAAAATATATATATATATATTGTATAACCATCGGAATTCTATTTAAAAATAAAAATGCGATTGTACAAAAGGCATAGAATTCAGCAAAAATTAACGAGAAATATCATTAGAATTGCGATAAGTTATCAACACGATACTTTTTTTTTCAAATGTCATGCTAACTTCTATATTTAAAATATTAAAATTGGTAATTATTCGAATTTTCTTTTCAAATAACATGTGTTGATAAAACTCGAATAATACTAACGCGTACTAAAATCCAAAATAGAAGTATCGTTTTTTGTATTTTAGAGGGAAAGTACCATGTTAAATTCGCGATGTTTGCATGCCATATTTTTAATATTGATTTTTTAATATAAAGAAAGCTGAACTTTGTTTTATTTTTATGAGAAACTGTAGAACTATTAAAAGTGCCATTGGAATTGTCAATATATTTTTTATATTATAGAATGTTGTATGTGATATCTTTACAAATCCTATCAAATGTCTATAAATGCACTTTGATCTTGCATAGCGTTTGGCTTCAAATTAATGATCCCTAAAACATACAAGATTACTCACAGTTTTTCATCTTACTAAAACCTTGAATAAAATTTTCTCGTTTTTTTATTTTACAGATATTATAACTTTGAAGAGTTTCATAAGTCGTTTCAAAAATATTTCCGCTAATCGTCATATTTTTGTTCTTATGAATACAAAAATTATTTTCGCGTATTTTTCTGCCGCACTGAAATTATCGAGATCTACTCCGAATAAACTCTAAACCAAAATCTACAAACTGTCGATTAGAGAATTAGAGAATCGAGGCTACGCGGTCTAACATACACAACACTGCATACACACGCATTGCGGCGGTTATATCGATAGAACAATTTCGCGTCTGCATGGGTTATTGGCTATTGAAAAATAACGGCGCGGCGCGAGGGAGGGATGAAAAATGAGATATATCCGTCGGAGTTACTTGCCAACGTCTCGGCACTGATCCTTCTCGAAGAGCTTGCACTGCAGCGCCCATCGACGAGCTATAACGGCAAGTTCGTCGTCCCAGATCTGTCGAAACAAATGACACTTCAGACGCTGTCCACCATCCCCGGGATAAATGATTAAATATCGCGTCGCGCGTGTTCCGTCGATTTTTCTACCAATTCCATCATGGTCCTTGCGGCGGGCTGCGGCCCGGGATTTCCGCGATTCTCCTTGCCGTTCGCAATGACAGCACGATAACGATTATGACTGTCGAGCACGGTCTCGATATCCTCCTCATCGAGGTCGTTGTTCACCATATCGATGCAATCCACGCTCTCGCAGTCAGACTATAGGGATGAATAGCAAATTGTAAACTGAAGATGCATTCACGGAAAGAACGGTTTTGCTGAAATATCTAAAAATTTAAGGGGACCCTAAAGTCGTCTGTTTTACCAATTATTTTTCAAACGAGTATTTTTCTATATAATGTACTACATATAACTGCTTTTATATATATATACAGATTTAAAAGTCCTTAAAAAATTAAAGATTATTATTAAATACACATCTTAATTAGCTCCGTTTCTAAGCCTATCTTTTACTTTTTTTATCGCTTTTAATATATACGAGCATACTGATTTTATGTTTTTGTTTAAAAATCTTTTTCCAAATTAAAATATAAACGATAATGTAGTACAAACGGGTGGATTTTATGTCAGAAAAGGTGGAAAATTATAGTTATTATCAGTTTCTCCGGCGTCGACTCGTGACAATATTTGCTTTATATACAAGTTTTGTGCTTTATACATAAAACAATCTTAGTTTGGACTAGGGATTAGATGAACAAACAATGTTGAGTTCTTATTAGAATTTGGCTTATGCCCATTTCTACTAATGTAGATTAACTTTAATCTCGGTTCTCTTTAATTCTTAGAGCTTGGAAAAAGTGAAGAGTTTGTTGAACCGAAATTGAAGTTAAAATAACATATTGATAAAAAAAACGGATCAATTAAATATGCATGTAATATTGATGTAATGTGTAAATGACACACATAAATAGGTTATATTGAATCAATAAAATATAAACAACTTTAGAATTCCGACTTAATGTCTAAAATATTTTTAAATACACATCTGAAAATAATATTGTCATAATCAGACTATGAGAATAATTTTATAAAGCGCTTAAGCTTATTGCTGGAATATCAAAATTTTTTGCGTCACTCATTACGCTTAACTTTTCTACATTATTTTCAGATCTAGTTAAATTTTATAATATTTTCTGTATAATTATTTTGCAGAACATCACTCATTATACTTGACTTTTCAATAAAATTATGTTCCAGATCTGTGTCTAGCTAAATTTTTAAATATTTCAGCAAAATTGTTCTTCCCATGTATATTTTTTGCAAACAGACAGCATTCAATTTCGCAATTATGTAAAATAGCGAATAATAAAAAATTAGGTTAGACATATTGGGTTTCGAAAATCTCGGACGTGTGTCAGCATATTTCATCATGATTGAATATCGTACTACAAAGTTGCTATTCTCTTCACATACAGTTTACATATACACATGAATATTATCTAGTCAAACAATTTTAATAAATATTTACAGGAAATAAGCACATTGTGTGATCGGGGCAAATGCGACAATAATTTCTATTCTCTCGATCGGTTGTTGTCATCCTTCCTCTCGCTTCGCTGTCACGGTAATGCGTGAGAAAAGATAAGAGGCAAAAGATACGAGCTGTCCTCCGGTTAAACCTCATCGTTGTCAATCCATTCGTGAGATTAGTCGTATGCGTCAGCTACAATTACGTGCTTACTTCAGTTGCTATCCGCCCAGCGCCCTTAATCGCGACGTCAGGTTTTTTTTCTTTTTTCTGCCTTCGCAAACTGTCTAACTTCAGATCGCGCGAATCAATTTAGCGACTTTGACAGTTCTGAGATGCCGGATTGGTAAGAAAATTTATCGCGCAACGCGGAACGGAAATTCATATCGTTGCTATGCGAACCGATTCACCGCGCTGCTGGTCGGTCTTGCGCTTGATCCATACCAAGATCCATACACAGATGAAAAACGAGATCTAAACAAAGCAACGCGAGAAGTATTTCAATTCTGCATTTATTACGTTCAAGAATTCGCCGCTGCAGATAAAGAAAAGGAAATCGTTGACGGGACGGGCCGCTGATAAATTATCTTGGTGGGCGGAATGCCCGGCACTCGGCAGACCGATATTTTTATTTGCCCGCATGGCACATTGCTTTATATCCAAATTTATTTCCAAATTTATATCCTCTTTTCCTTCTTTCCGCTCTGTTGCGGAATACCGCGGGGTCTATATTTCACTTCGTTTAATTCGGGCGGATCTGACCGACGCGATGTAAATACTCGGTCAGCATATCGAGATCCAAACCTTATTACAATAAATGTATTTATTGATAAAATATTTTACCAAAAATAACAATATTGGTATACGTAATACATTTAATACTTTAAGTACCGAGCGGTCATTATCGATCGTTTTTATTTTTTAGATTAATGTTATATTTCTTTGTATATAAATATAAGCTTTTGAAATTTTTTAACTTTTCAGTAATTATGAATTCTGTATTGATGAAATATTTGATTTTTCATTACTTTATTTATTTTCATAGTAATTTATTCGCTTGGATTTTTTCATAAATAAGAAACATTGGACTTCTAGTAGTATAATATATAATAATTGTATAATATTTTTATATACGCTACGTACATAATTTATGATAATTATGTTATAATTATATTATATAATATGCCAAAATATCAAGCATTTATTAAGGATAAAAACGCGGACAAAATGAAACGTTAAGTCTATCGAAACGAAAGCGAGGATGGCAAGGATAAAAGCGATAAAATATATACCTATAAATGAGATTCTCTCATCCGTTTACAAGGTGTTGTTTGTGGAACAATTTTGTAATGCAATATTTCCCTCTAAGTGCGATTTATAAAGCTCTCGATAGTAATAACGGTGAATTTCTGGCGTATAGAGATATATTCGAAATTTGTTTGTTCGATCGTTCCCCCACGAGAGATGTTGTAGCGTGTAAACGTGCCCGTTTGGCAAGTTCGTTCCTTCTCCCATGCCGTGCGGCACGTGTTTTCATTTTGGTATCGTAGATAGAACTGCCTCTCATATCATTATTGTTTCAATACGCGTGGGAGGTAAGAACTTCTCAAGTTCCGTTTGTTCCCGAGACTGCTGAGCATTTTTCCAACTACTTTTGTCGCAACAATAGATGCAGATTGCAGACAAAACTGGTATATCGTATAGACGTAGTGAATTACAATTGCGGGTAACTAAAAATTTCGAAAATTAATCCCCGTCACTCGACGTATATTCTTGCGCGTTTTATTTTCTTTTATACAGTGAATTGAGTAAGTTACATAAAATATGTAACAATTATCGAATAATAAAAAAAAATACATATAAAGTATAATATTCTTGTATATTACGTGGAGAGCAAAAAGACACAAATTTTGCAAGTTCGGACTACATGACGTGTTTAACGACATTGTAAATTTGCTTAACGTTTTAACGTAAAATAGTATGCATATGCGGCAACTCAATTTTGCAAGGGTTGATTGTTTTGTCAGTAACGCAATTTACATTTTCGAGTAATGGTCTGTCAAATATTTTGACTAAAACTGAAAGTGGTACATAAATAATAAAACACAAAAGAAAATAAAATTAATTTAAGGAATTTAAAGGCAATAACATACTGACTTAAAAATAATTTATTGTACACACACATATTGTATTTTATATACAAATAACATTCCACCTATAGATATGCAGATAGAAATTTAAACAAGTATCTGGAGATATCGTCTCCGATACGTGAAATATATTTTTGATATTAGTCAAATCTTTCAAATAAAACACTCAACTACGCAAAAATAAAAGTAAGAAATCAATTAATATATACTGCCAGTGAAGGGATTACTATTCTCACACGATATTGCAGCATGCCAAGTTGTTAAACTTACTAAATACTTTAGCTGCAAATTGCGTAATTGGCAAATCTTGTAAGAGTAAAAATCTGGAATCTCCTTTAAAGTTGAAAGTATCTTCTACAAGCACACGAAGGTATGTTGCTTGTGCTACATAACCGTTTTGTATCTTTGAGAAATTCCTCAGTGGTTCATTTTAATAGATATACATACATGTATGAGAAAATTTCTCATCATGCAACCCCTCTGGAAATTACGTAACGGTGAATTAACATCATTTGGTCCCCGGTATGTGTTTACTTTAATAATTATCATACGGAAGCCTGTTACTTGGCGGCATGTTTTCCATAATGAGATATGCGCCTCGCGAGTAAGATTGAGTAATACCTATATTAACAGTACCTATACACACAATATCGCTATATATGCAAATCGCTTTGAATCGATCGTATATCTTTACAAACTGTTTAGCTCGAGCTTATACATATACTCCTCGTGAAAGCGTCCAAGCTCTTTTTTTTTATATTAAACGCCACTTGGTACCGTCAAAAAACTAATTTATGCGACACTAATCTGTGTTTCAAAGTTCACCCCGGAAAAACGGATGAATAAGCCAACCATTTACGTATGTAAAAAGATATTGTCAATTAATTGTATCCTCCATTTATCGTGCTCGTGTAATAATTTATATAACGATCGTACATTCAGCTTCTGGTTATTCCTAAAGAGAACATCTATGTACAATTTTTAAATATGTTAGAGATCAACTCAACGTGTTGTGGAATTAAATAAAGCGCATATAATACTTGCTGCGCGTGTCCAGACTTTTTGAAACTTGATTTACCCAGGATATCCGAAATAAACGGTTTCGTTCGGGCGTAAGATTTCTTTATACGAGATCGTCCACGTGTGCGACCCTACAACGTTGACATTGACGTCGTCATCGACGTCGTGATCGGTGCAGCGCAAAATGTCATAAAGTCATATTAAGGACTGTCCGGTGCGTTTTCCCGCCATGCCAATATTGTGTTCATGTCGGTAATGCCACGCGTGCTCCATGGCTCGAGCGGATCTGAGGACGACGTTGGTGGTGAAGCCGCCTTATTCCGCTCAATCGATTCCCTTCTCCTTGTCGGTTCCTCAATTTCTTTAGGCGATATCCTGCGCACATGCATCATAAAAAGCACCGACCGATTAGGGGAGCAGTCAATCGAATGCCGATACCGTTCTACGCAGACTGCCATCAAATTCTTTTTGTACTATTTTTTTTTTTTTTAATTTAGAATGATACTCTAGGCACGATTTTTCTTTTGCGATAATATCAGAAATCAATAATTATTGCATCTTTACAATTTTTAACATTGTCGTATTTGTAGCTGCGAGCTTCAAATTAAATCTCAGTTTCAAATCGAATTCACTTTAACAATGCTTTTGTCGTATATTTTTTATGCTGAAGTTATAAATATGATACCTTTATTAAAGAAAAATCGATCAGCGAAGAATCTATAGTACAATCGGTGTGGAACGCTGCGTAACTAACGATGTGGGATAATTATTAGATGGAATTTAATTAATGTGTCATTTAAGTCGCGTCAATTAACGCACGCGCGCCGTCATGTTGGCCATTTTATGCATTTGAAAATTCCAGATTCTACTGTCAGTTATTACGGTTAGTTATTCTGTTCAATAAACATCGACTTCTATATTTATATAAGCTATATTTGCACGAACAAAAAAAATGGATATTGATGATTGATCCTGTAACAAATTTATATCTTTCTTTTCGAGATATGAAAAAATTATGTATGTCTAGAAATACTTTTGAACTCGTGAATTTTTATACAATCATTTATCTTTTGTGAAAAGATCGAGTTTTGTTTTATTTTAAATTTAGAAAACCATAATATACATAATATAAAACTTGTATAATTTTCTCTCCGAGAAAAAATATCTCGGTGTTTAATATCATTATTTTCTAAATATATAATTTATCGCGAAATTATCGGAAAATGTTGCAACTCATTATTAACTATATATAATATATGTATATCATGTATATTGTTTTTTACCTATTCTTGGCCGTTTTTGGTCGACGTTTTTGGACTTTATCGGGTGATTTGGTAGGAATGCTGCCGTTCTGCTTGACCTCCGACTTAATTGTTTCCACGGTGGTCTTTTGTCCTTCAGTCCTGATACGATTCATCGGTCTCTCTTCCGGATTATTCAGTAGTGGTCGATATCGCAGACTTTGCTCGACGGACGTTGTAGATGAGGAACTGTCGCCATCGTCGTCACGGTGTAACCGTTTCGATGTAGCGATGAATCTGTCATTTGCGGATTTTATCCTTCGAAGGCGAGCTTCGGTGCCGAGTAAATTATTATTGCCTGCAAAAACGATTGACATAAATTTCTCTATTTAATAATAATAATACAAGATTTATGCAATTTTTATTAATAATATATAACTGTATATTTTGTACTTACCGCCGAGATCATTATCGCTGGACTCTATAAAATATTGTTTCTTAACGATAGTAGATTTCTCAATGGTCGGCGGCGCGACCATGGCGAAGTGTGCTAGAATTTGCGGGTCGATTGTGGTTTTCATTGAAGCTTCACTTGTGGCTAAAGCGGACTTCGCCATTTGCAGTAGAGTTTTGTAATCTGTTGTAGTCTCGGAAGCGATAG